CACTTAGCCCATTGAGACCTGTCTAATTGTTCTCCCATCTGCTTTGTTCTTCCATTCCCCTCTCCCCACAATATACTTTTGCATAAAGGTATAATTACAACAGAAAGGGTCAGTTTGGATTAGAAAATCAGAGAAATCCATCTCTACTGTTCATGCTCCAACTCTTGTCTTTTCATGCAACCAATACGTATGTTATTATTGTTGTTAAGTGCCGTTGAATCGGTTCCAGTGTAGGATTTCAGAGGAGCAGCTGGTGAGCTTGAACCACCGACTTTGCAGTTCAAACGGCTTTGTAGTCTGGCACATTAATCCACAGTGCCACACCAGGACTCCAACCAACATGTATGGGAACCGGATATTTGTCGCACATGCTTGTCCTTCTGATAGAGGCTCAGAAGAGTAGAGGAGGACATCTCAATCTCTACATGGAGAGACAAAGTGTCAGGTGAAAGCTTATCAAAGCTCAGAAGGGTAAAAAGGCTATGTTCTGGGTGACAAGAGCCCAACTATATAAGTGCTTTGGTAGTAGTAGAATAGGAAGCTGGAAAGAGGTGGTTTGGGATGATTTTATAGAGGAACTTCAGCATTTCTTTCAAAAATTTGTATATTAGTCTCCAGATGTGTCTTTGTTTCTTTGCGCTGCTATAAATGAAATACTTAAAGAGGGTGACATTAACAAACAGAAATTTGTGTTCTTACAGTTTAAGAGTTCAAACTCAGGGCACTGGCTCTAGGGGAAGGCTCTGACTCTGTCTCAACTTTCCCAGCATCCTTCTTGGCTTTCCTTGGAGATCTCCATTTGGCATCAATCTTCCCCCATTTGTGCTTGCTTCCTTAATGATTTAATACATACATCCTACACTGAAAGCCCTTCATTAACATAACAATAAAATTCTATTCCATAATAGGATTACATTCACATGTATCTGGGTTAGGATTCTAATACCTGCTGAAGGCAAAGGATTGAATACATGGAGTATGGGATACAATGAGAGAAATCCAAAATTACATTAATGACTCAAAAGAGACTAAGAGTCAGAGATGATATTGTCTTTCAGTTCAATGACACTAGATGCCTGAAAGAGTGAAGCAAAGGTTATACTCCTGCATTTAAACCCGACAAGACAGAATGGAAGCCTGAAGTAAGTCTGAGTGGCCTCAACAGGAAGATGCTCCCATGGTAGATATAATGATGGACTGGACTCATTGCTAATGACTGACTGGAACTCTAGTAATATGCCAGTATCTTTGGACTCTTATTTTTCAGGTGACTTCTATAATTTTATGATGTAGTGTGTTGTTGTTGTCAAGTACTACTGAGTTGGTTCTGACCCATAGTGACCTTGTATAGGGTTTCTGAGAAGCAGCTGATGAGCTTGAACAGCCAACCTTGTGGTTCATACCAACCTTGTAGTCCAGTGCTTTAGCACAAAGCAACATACCAGGACTCCATAATATAGTATTATTGTTGTTAAGTGCCGTCGAGTCAATATGGTTTCCAAGGAGCGGCTGGTGAATTTGAACTACCAACCTTGCAGTGGTCCAGTGCATTATCCCACATATAATTGGTAAGATTATACTATTAATAGAGTTCTGATGTGGTGCTGTAGAATAATCACTTACTGCTAAACAAAAGGTCAGTGGTTCAAACCCACCAACTGCTCCTTGGGTCGCTATAGGTTGGAACAGACTTGATGGCATTTAACAACATCAACATTGATGGCCAGTATTGATGATGATACTGGTAGTGACTGATCCTCAGAATGTAATATGACTAGCCTGAAGGAAAACTGGATCTAGATGACTTACCATAAAGGGAGGAAAACAACAATCCTCCAATTGTTAGGTATATCAAAGGAACTAGGACCAAGGACCAGGGATGGCCTGTGGAGTTTACAATTAACCTTATCCACAGAATTTGTCCTTGGTTCCTGAAAGACAACATCTAAAACATGGTAATTTCCATGGTGACTGAAAAACAGTAGGACTTCAAAAAGTTCATGGAAAATTCCATTATCCTTTAATTCCATGTTTTCATTAACTTTTTGAAATTCTCTCATATCTTTCTTATCTATAAAGACTCCAGACCATACCCTTACAGTTTATTCTAATGAGGTGACTCAGGTGGGGGCTGGCCAGTCTCAAAAGACCCCACCACATGATACCAACTGACCCCATGGGAGGGGGACATGAGTCAATCCAGCTGCCTTTGTAATGAGGCACCAAGAAAGGCTCTGGGTACAAAAACTCCAGGGGTTTCCTGGTTGATGAAAGACGTTAGTGCATGTGGAAGGGTAGTGTTCCTTTCTGGGACATGGGACTGCTCCTAGACCTTGCCCTATGTACCCCTTTTTATATATATATATATGTGTATATATATGCTCTTTGGAAACCCTGTACAGGGTGACTATGAGTCGGAAATGACTCGATAGCATGTAACAACAACAATATATAACTCTATATAGAAAACTAGATATATGTTTCTGCTGTTAAGTGCTGTTGAGTCGATTCTGACCCATAGCAACCCAGTATAGGGTTTCTAAGATGCAGCTGGTGTGCTTGAACCACCTACTTTGCAGTTCAATCAACTTTAGAGTCTGACACATTAGCCCACAGCACCACACCAGAAGTCTCTCTCTCCATATATTATGGAGAGAGAGAGAGAGAGCGAGAGTGAGTATGTGTCCTGGTGTGGTGCTGTGGTTAATGCGCTGGACTGCAAAACTGTTTGAACTGCAAAATTAGCAGTTCAAACTCACCAGTCACTCCTCAGAAATAACAATAACAACATGTGTGTGTGTTGTTGTTGTTGTTAAGTGCCATCAAGTTGGTTCCAACTCATAGCCACCCTGTTTTGAGTTTCCAAGGAACAGTTGGTGGATTTGAACTGCCAACTTTGTGATCTTCAGCCCTCAAGTGAAGGGCTTTCAGTAAATTACACAATTACAGTGGCAACCTAATCCAACAGCACATACAGAGCTTACTTCTGTATCACTTTATGTTAAGGAAACGTTCAGTTATACCATTGACATTACATGCAATGTTTAAGATAAACTTACTAGAAAGCCAAACTATGGTGTTGGAGAAAAATGTAATACCATGAACCACCAGAAGAACAAACAAATCTGTTTTGGAAGAAGTACACCCAAAGTGCTCCTTAGAAGCAAATAGGACAAGTCTTCATTGGGCATGTTATCAGGAGGGAGAAGGACATCATGCTTGGTAAATTGGAAAGTCAAAGAAAAAGAGGAAGACCCCTAACAAAATAGACTGATACAGTGGCAGCAACAATGGGCTCAAAGAACAATTGTGAGGATGGCGCAGGACTGGGCAGTGTTTCGTTATGTTGTACACAGGTCCGATATAAGTCAGAACCGACTTGACAGCACCTAACAACAACATTAGAAAGCCACAGCTTGCCAGTTACAATCCAGTTTCAATCTCCTCTGCATTCCCCTAGGTTTGAAGTCTCTTCTACTCCATCCACCCACACAGCTAGGAGCTGGATTCACACATTTCTTGCAATGCATCATCCCTTAAATCTATCAACTTCTTTGCTGTTCTGGACAATATATCCATTTTGGCAGAAAAAGTGCTTTGAGTTAATAAGGAGAGCATCTCTCCCCTGTAACATGTCTGAAGGGAAGTGGTTTCTTGCTGGGCTTCTCTCCTATATTTGTTGTTGTTAAGTGCCGTCGAGTCGGTTCCGACCCATAGCGACCCTGTATAGTAGAGCTTAAATTCTGAGTACTTTGTTTGTGGGATGCTATGGTTTGCAGTGGGAACCCTAAATTGATTTTAAGCCTTGACATAACTTAAGTCTCCATTGAGCTCTTTCTGGCCACTAACTGGCAATGTAAGAAGCTTTGCACTCAGGCAGACTGCATTTGAAAGTGGATTAAGGACACTCCCAAAGAAAGTCCAAGGAGGGGCAAGCTACCTGCTGGAATTTATCTGGGCATGCCCTTAAAAAAAAATTGGGGTAGCAAGACCTCATGGTCATTAATCATACCCTGAACAAAATGTTTGAAGGGCCCCAGAATCAATCCTGTAAGCTTTTCTAGTCTGTAATAGTGGTGTATACCAGTCATGGTCCCTTTCCCACTTCCGTAGTTCTGCCTGCGATTGCAATGAGTTGATTTGTTCCCAATCACGACTTTGTAACCAATTTCTTTTGTTTTATATCTTCCATAATGAATTGAACAGAAAATTTCAAAGGGTACAAGATGACAAAGTAAAGTATTATAATGAAAGAGCTGCAGTTAGAAAACCAAAAAGGTAGAACATGCTCAGCATTTCTAGTGCTGAAAGAACTGAAGAAAAAAAATCCAAGCTTCAGCTTGACATACTAGAGGACTCTATGGACAAACCACAGCCTTCTGTATGGGTTGCTTCTCATTGTAATATAAACAAAAATCTTCACCACTGGACCAATAAACAACATTCATACAAATGGAGAAAAGATTGAAGTTATCAGAGACTTCATTTTGCTCAGATCAACCATCAACACTTATGGAAGCAGTAGACAAAAACTCAAATGACATACTGCATTAGGCAAATCTGCTGCACAAAACCTCTTTAAAGTGCTGAAGTGCAAAAATGTTAGTTTGAGGACTAAGGTGCACCTGACCCAAGCCATGGTATTTTCAATAACCTCATATACATGTGAAAGTTGGACAGTGAATAAGGAAGACCGTAGAAGAATTGATGCATTTGAGTTATAATGTTGGAGAAGAATATAAAAAGTACCATGGACTGCCAGAAAAAACTAACCAATCTGTGTTGGAAGAAGTACAGCTAGAATGCTCCTTAGAAGCCAGGCTGCCAAGACTTATACTTGGGATATATTTCAGAAGGATCCAGTCCCTGGAGAAGGGCATCATGCTTGGTAAAGTGGAAGGTCAGCGAAAAAGAGGGAGACCCCCAATAAGATGGATTGGCACAATGGTAGCAGCAATGGACTCAAGCATTATAATGATTGTGAGGACGGCACAGGACTGGGCCATGTTTTGTTCTGCTGTGCACACGGTTGTTATGAGTTGGAACCGATTTAACAGCACCTAACAGCAACAGTCTTGGTGTGGTGCTGTGGGCTAATGCGCCAAACTGCAAAGTGGTTTGAACTGCAAGGTCAGCGGTTCAAGCTTACCAGCTGCTCCTTGGAAATCCTATACAGGACCGCTATGGGTCGGAACTGACTCGATGGCACTTAACAACAACAACAGCAACATAGACAAATTATTCAATGATTTAGGAAACATCAAAGAAGATGGAAAGAATACACAAAGTTACATTACCAAAAAAGGACAGATTTATGCTCAACCATTTCAAGAGGTAGCATATGATCAAGAACCAATGGTATTGAAGGAAGAAGTTCAACCTTCACTGAAGACATTGGCAAAAAACAAGGCTCCAGATATTGATGGAATACAAATTAAAATCTTTAAACAAACTTATGCAGCACTGAAGACTTTCAATGAGTCATTGGAACACAGCTACCTGGCCAAATGATTGGAGGAGATCCATATCTGTGCCCATTCCAAAGAAAGGTTACCCAACAGGATGTGAAAATCAACAGACAATGTCATTAATATCACAAGCAACTAAAAGTTGGCTGAAGATAATTAAAAAATGGTTGCAACAATACATCAACAGGGAACTGCCTGAAATTCTAGCTGTATTCAGAAGAGGACATGCAATGAGGGATACTATCACTTGCATCAGATGGATATTGGCTGAAAGCAGAGCATACCAAAAAGATGTTTACTTGTGCTTTATAACTATACAAAGGCATTCGACCATGTGGATCATAACAAACTATGAATAACATTTCAAAGAATGGCTATTCCAGAATTTAACTGTGCTCATGAAGAACCTGAATACACACCAACTGGGAGACATCTGAACAAAGCAGGGGAAGACTGAATGTTTAAAATCAGGAAAGATGTGTGCCAGGATTGCATCCTTTTGCCATACTTATTCAATCTGTATGCTGAGCAAATAATTGAGAAACTGGGTTATATGATGAAGAACACAGCATCAGGATTGAAAGAAGGTTCATTAATAAGCTATGATATGTAGATGGCATAACCTTGTGTGCTAGAAACCAAGAGGACTTGAAATACTTACTGACAAAGATCAAAGACTATAGCCTTCAGTGTGTATTACACCTCAATGTACAGAAAATTAAAATCCTTACAACTGGACCAATAAATAATATCATAATAAACAGAGAAAAGATTGAAGTTGTCAAAAACTTTATTTTGCTTGAATCCACCATCAATACTCATGAAAGCAGCAGTAAAGAAACGAGAGACATACAGCATTAGGCAAATATGCTACAAACGACCTCTTTAAAATGTTCAAGAGCAGATGTCACTTTGAGAACTAAGGTACATCTGATGAAAGCCATGGTTATTTTCAATCTCCTCATATGAATGTGAAAGTTGAGCAATGAATAAGGAAGATCACAAAAGAATCAATGCATTTGAATTATGGTGTTGGTAACAATATTGAAAGTACTATGGACTGCCAGAAGAACAAACAAATCTGTCTTGGAAGAAGTGCAACCAGAATGTTCTTTAGAAGCCAGTATAACAGGACTTTGTCTCTTCTTCTTTGAACATGTTGTCACAAGGGATCAGTCCCTGGAAAAGGACATCATGCTTGGTAAAGATTAACAAAAAATAGGGAGACCCCCAATGAGATGGATTGATACAGTGACAGAAACAATGCACTCAAATGTAACAATTGCAAGAATTCCACAGAACCAGGTAGTGTTTTGCCCTATTGTGTATAAAGTTGTTATGAGTCAGAAGTGACTCAGGGCACCTAACAAAAACAACGTAAATTGGCCAAATGACTGTGAATCCTATAAACATCATTATGGCTTAATACTGATGGTTCCCCTCACCCAGGTGGTTTCCCTCTGTCTTTGTCTTGCCTTTGTCCTGCTTAAGACTTAAAAAGGGGTCTCTATGAAATACATTTGAATTTGAGACAGTTTCTCCCCTAAAACTCCTGAGATGTATCAGCATATTCCAGCTACACTCATTTGGGTTTGTCTGTATCTCTCCCCATAGGGAACAATGGATTCAGAGCTGAGTGTACTTCTGAGACTTCTTTGTAGCAGGAAGAGAGGTTATAAACTGTGGAATTAAATTCCATTCATGGCTGAGTAACACAAAAAAATCTGAGATTTCAATATGACTTTCGAAACCAATAAGCAAGTAATCACCAAGCTTGTAGCAAGCAGCATGTATCCAGTCCTTGAAAGAACTAACCCACAGAACAAAGGGAAAGGTGTGCCAGCCACTTCTACCTTTTAGGTGGGAATATTAGCATTCTATCCCAAAACATCTGATATGTAGTAAATGTCTATTAACAACACCTAACAAAGCCTGAGGGGTCCTGTCAATTGTTTTCTATTAATCAAACCAAAAAGCTACATACATTAAAAAAATGTCCTCTTGTCTCAGAACTTCCTTTCCCTGTCCTTGATTCAGGGAGCCTTCTTTCTTCTCCTGCAGCTTCTGAACCTGGGTAATCACCACCTCCACAGGCTCTTGCTAAATCTTTTTACAATGCTCTCTTCCCTTTGTTTACATCCCTTGGTCTCTAATCTCCCCAAATCGCTACTCCAAGTTCCAACAGACACACAATACTCTTTCTCACATGTGAAAAATGAAATTGAGTTTAAGCAGGTCTACCAGACTCCAATTGTGTGAGAATTCAAATTGCCTATTATCAACCCCTGCAGAAAGTGGCTTAACCCTTTCAGACTATACTTGCCACTCTCAGCCCACTCTTGTTTCCTACTGTATCCCTTGTGCTCTGTCCTCATTTAACAGTGGCTGGCCCTTAGAGAAGGTGATGGTGCAGTAGGCTGAGCATTGAGCTGCTAATGGAAAGGTCGGTCGGCAGTTCGAACTCACCAGCCTCTAAGTGAAAGAAAGATGAGGCTGACTGCTTCTGTGAAGATTTCCAGCTTCTGAAGCCCTACAGAGCAGTTTTACTTTGTATAGGGCATTGTGGGTTAATGCGCCAGACTGCAAAGCCATTTGAACTGCAAGGTCGGTGGTTCAAGCTCATCAGCTGCTCCTCAGAAACCCTAAACAGGGTTGCTATAGGTCAGAACTGACTCGACGGCAGTTAGCAACAAAAAGGAGAATATTGAAAATGCCATGGGCTGCCAAAAGAACCAATAGATCCGTTTTGGAAGAAGTGCTCCTTGGAGGCCAAGATGGCCAAACTTGATCTCTCATACTTCGGACAAATTGTCAGGAGGGACCAGTTGCTGGAGAAGGATATCATGTTTGGTAAGGTGGAGGGTTATAGAAAAAGAGGAAGACTCCCAAAGAGCTGGACTGGAAAAGTGGCAGCATCAATGGACTGAAGCGTGGCAATAATTGTGAGATTGGCCCAGGATAGGGCAGCATTTCATTCTGTTGTGCACAGGGTCACTATGAGTTGGTACCAACTCAATGGCACCTAACAATAATAACAATAGGGTTTCTATGGGTTGGAATAGACTCCTTGGCAGTGGGTTTGGTTTGGGTTTGGCCTTTCCAGATGATGTCTTGGTAGTACAAATGGTTAACAGTTGGTGGTGGTTTGGACCTATCTCACAGTGCCTCAGACAAAAAATTCTGGTGATCTGCTTCTGAGCAGTCTCAGTCTTGAAAATCCATGGAGCACAATTCTACATTGCAACACATGAGGTTGTCGAGAGTTGGAACAGGTGGTTTGGTTTTGGTTTTAGACTCCTGCAGAAAATCTTTATGTATACTAATGAAGACTTGGTAGCACAGTGGCTTTGTAGGATAAGTACTAGACTGCTAACCACAAGGTTGACATCTACTGTCTGCTCTGAGAGAGAAAGATAAGGTTCCAATCTACCAGCTGTCCTGAGGGAGAAATATGAGGTTTTCTGCCCTGCAAAGTTTTGATGTTGTTGTTAATTGTCATCAAGTCAGTTTCTGATGAGCAGCTGGGTGGATTGGAACTGACAACCTAATGGTTATCAGTCCAGTTCTTATCCTACAATACCACACTACTCCCTGCAAAGATTTACAGCCTTGGAATCCCTACACAGGGTCATTATAAGTTGGAACTGATTTGACGACACTTAATGACAACAGCAAAGGTGGGCTTTGTTCTTCTGGGGTGCTTTGCTATATACCTCT